AAATGTGAAACATCTTCAGGGTTTCTTCCACATTACACCGATACTTATCAGAAGTATACTCTTAAATGAGCCGATTACGTGTCATGAGTGCTCTCATCCTTATCTTGAGCATTGGAGAAACAATGGAGTGCCCCCCCCAAACTGGAGTTTCACCTTTCGTAGCTGTTCTGCGTGGAAAACGGCTTGCACTGCGAGTGCTGTTAGCTAAAAATTAGTTATTTTTGAGCTCCCATTTTTATCCATTTTTTCTGATATTTTGTTTCCTCCAACCGCTACTGTATAAATGAATTTATTACCAATATCAATATATCCTCTATAATGAGTCTGTCGGAGTTGGGTCAGCACTCAGCTCAGCTAATTAAGCGAGGTCCACCCAGAGGCAGGTTACAGGGTGGTGCGAGATAACCACGGCGAGGAGGTGTGAAAGGTCAATCCTGACTAAAGGTGCACACCCGCGGCGAGTGATTAGATGGTCGGTGGGCGTACACCGCCAACCGCGCCAAGCTAGAGCGCCGAGGTCAAATCTTTCGCTGCCAATTGCGCGTTGGTCAGCACCCTCAGGAGGTCCGCCTGTCTCCCAACTAGGCCATTTCCTCCTTCTTCGACCTTCGATTCTTATCGTGAATTCGTCCTTTAATCGTGTGGCCTAGACTTTGCTCTCTGCCTGAGTTATGCTGCGTTTGACCCCTTCCTCAATGCTTTTTGGGAGCGGACGAAGGCGAGGTCAACGTGACCTTGTGGCCACCTATAGGCTGGCTCTTCCGGGGGCTTTACTACCATCCCAGGTAGTTTTGAGTGAATGTCGTTGTAGTCTTCGGTCGATGTCGATCAAAACTATTATTGCTTTTGTGAGGAGAGCATAAAGCGGTTATATCGTTCTGATGGGTGTTTCCAAATTAAAATAACTTATGATCTCGATAAGTAGAATCATACACCTGCGGGTAAATGTAGACTGCGGCAATTAGCTGCGAACTCAGCAAATTTTCTCCTAGCAACTATCAAAAGCATTTTCTGACGAGTCAAGGACAAATTAGAACCAGTCTGTATTTGTGAGCAACAAAAATAACCTTTCAACTCCTGGTGATAGACATATGTATCACCACATTATACCATTCGCTCGAGCACAGAAGCACAGAAGGATGCGTTGATTTGTTGCTACGCAAATTGAGCCATCGCCTAATCGCCTAATCGATACGCATCCATTTCCCTGTAGACTTGTGATCCAATCGCCTAGTCGCATGTACGTTCGCCAACTCTGAACGTTGCCTTAGAGGTATCCTCCATGATGAAAAAGGAACCCTTGATGGTCCACTCAGTGATACGCTTTCGTCGAGCGCATGAAAAAAGAAGATGATTGCCAATTCTTCCGATCAAATTGTTTTCAGGTGACGGAAGCTGGTGCCATGAATGTCTTTTTGCATTGGAAAAACGAACAAGGCGAAGATGAATTGATTACGGCATCGTTAGAGAGTGGTGAGTGAAAGGGAGACCTCTAAAAAAAATGACATTCTGCCAAATTGCTTGAAGAAGAAGAAAAAGAACCAGTGCCAGAAAAAAGTCAAAAATTCTATAAAAAATGGTCCGCCACACTCATTCAACGTGCATTATTATCCTAGTTCCAATCATGACTGTTGTGAACACGAATAATACAAACATTTGTTTGTTTTGGTCATTATAACTGATTCTCCGTCATATAACATGAGCGTCACGCTACTCGTGCACTCCAGGTGCACTACGCTTTGATTGTGGTGGTCTCTGTTTCAGTACAGACACTGAGGCAAGCGATTGTACTTCGGCGTCAGGGTAATACGTTTCGGCGATGAAATTAGTTGCTTCGTTAAAACCTTGACTACAGGCGTTTTTTGTTTATGGCACCATGGGACGGGAGCAATGTTTCGAGTGCGCAACGTGCAATCTTGTTACAGGGTACAGCGTGCATCGAGGACTTCTCGGTGAGAGGTCGTTATTAGTCCACTGGGCAGGGGTCGTGATGCCCGAGTCAGCAGCGATCAAGAACTGGGTAGCTGTTTGCAAATGTGGTGGGAACTCACGGTTTTCGAACCGTTGTGTGCAATGGCGTCCGTCGGCGTATGCACTTCGCTCTTCCGTGAAGCGGAAACTGTTAAGGTGGCGAGCACATCAAAGGAATTGAAGGATTGTAAGAATGCATGGAGGGAATAATTATCTATCTGAAATGCAATTTTCATAACGTAAACTTCATCAGCATACGACATGTTTTTAAAGGAAGCAGTCACGCTGGCTTCCACGCTGGATTTGCTACCCTCGCGTTATCAATCGATAAGGTGTGAGGCAGTAATTGTTGGACGAGTGTAAGCCCATGGAAGATATGATACGATGAGATAAGAAGGTGCGGCTGCTTGATAAGAGGTGCACTCCAGAATGAAAACGGGACGATAACGATAACGGTATCATATCTAGCACGCTCTTATCGCACCCCTTTCCACATCGATAAGTCTTGGTTTTTGCTGAACGGAAGTGGATTTCGGCGCCTTATCACTCCGTTGATAAGGCGCCACTGCCACTGAAACTTCACGTGTTGTAACACTGGGCAGGACCTCTATCCACTCCAATACATAGCTTCCCTTATCGTTCCCATGAAAATTATCGTGACCACTTCCTTTAATCACAGTACATTCCACTTATTAGAAAAAGGAAAGCTTGAGAATCTCATATTCATATTTGCACAAAAATGTCGACTCATATGTAGTATGTCACAGATATTCATACATATCCTCGTCATCCTTCTGCAGGTCTCATTTTACCTGGAGTTACACGCCATTCCGTGATCCAGCTGGCACGTGAAATGGGCAACATCAAAGTGACAGAGCGTGATTTTACAATGGATGAGCTCCGAAAGGCAGTCAAGGAAAATAGGGTAAGCAATACTCTCCTCAATAGTGTCTTATGCCAGAGTAATTTTTGAATCAACTGCAGTGATGGTGTGTCAGATTGTGATACCGACTGATAAGAAGTGATAGATTAGAAAAGCTGGGTGATTACAAAATCTGCAATATTCCGTGCTACTGCATCTCGACGACTACAGCTCTGGACTATGCTCAATTAAATGACTATGCTCTCTCACTCGGTGCATGACACTTCAGAGGAAAAATTCCCATCTGAAGCGAAATGTAACTGCTCATTGGACAGCCTAATATCTGTCATACTACTGCACCACATTAGCTCTACTGGCTACCGCGCGCATGTCAAAGTGAGCTTCAATGGAACTGGGCATAGCCGGACTCCTGTATTAAGCAGCACTTTACTACTCCTCGAACTGAGTGATATTGAAAAGTTATTATAGTGCTAGTGATGAGCAGTCATTTCCCACAGCTCGCCATATACCCATAAACGTCCACCAATTCTGAAACAGTCTGGCGGCCAAAGAATCTTTCCGAATCCTCAGGCTAGTCGCTATAAGCCGCTTGCAAATCACATTATTTGCCATAGCTTCAGCTAGTCTAGTATTTCGACCATCTAAAAGAACATTATCCGTTCTACAAAACTCTTCAGCCTCCTTCCTCCATTCGTTGCAAACTTGTTAAATTTGGGCTTGAATTTTTTTCAATTAACTCAAACTTTTGTCCACTAAGAGAAATTAATCCATACATCGCTAACTTTCTCATGCAAAAGCGGTTCTAAACGGTTGTAAGAACTGAAATTCCCCCTCTAGAACGACTGCTCTATTCGGTCATATGTTTTGATCATTGTGAAATAGGCCAAATTTTAACCATAGGTTAAGGTGTCTTGTCCCACCAACATACCAAATCACTCCAATACTATTTT